GTATACCTAGGTTCTTTGCTTCTGTTTTTTTCTTCCTTCAAAGCCACCCAAGTCAGCTCGATTTCAAGGACCCTCATCCAGACCACCTGCCCAGCCTTCTTTCAAGGGTAAACATGGCCTCCAAGATGTTGAAGGCCAAAAAAGTATACCTAGGTGGGGTCCTACTGGTTTAACAGAACATAACGAGATCCGTGCGACTCGGATTACTGTTTGCAGGCAAGGTTACAGTACTCACCATCACCAACAACTTCATATAGGTTTTATGGGTCTACCTTTGATAACCAAAGTCGCACGTTCTCAAAGCTCTTGATGTCAATCAAATCTTCCGGTCTTTGGAAGAATTAATTTACTAAATTACTACACAATATCCAAAAAACATGAGGGTCTGATGCAAATGTAATCCTCAAGCGAAACATGAACGTGCAAACTTGCTTTTCTCAACTAGCAACAGCACGCTGTCTACACTACGAAATCAAACATTTCATCAACCTTATATCAATGTCATCCATTAGCATTTTCACACAGTGTTTACAATATAGCGAAGCTCACGCCTATATAGTACACGCTGGCAGGTGCGAACTCGCAAACAGCTACTTGAACTGCAGCCTCCTGTCCACCCGACCCTATTTTTGCTGAACTTGATCTTACATCAGCCCTGCCCTTCACAGCTAGAATGGTCGGGCCTGCCAGGTCACAGTGAGGAGAGGCAACCATATGCAGGTAAAGGAACAATGTTCAATTTTCTGAACATTTTTCCCAACAACAGTAGAACCTCCCCAACATCTATGATACTTTTAGGAATGTTCGGTCAAAAGCTCCAGAATTAAAAAAAAAAACGCCCAAATAATGGAACTCAATTTTGTGCCGCAGCGACATACCCCCTTTGCGCCTCATAAGCCAAACTTGATTGCAGCCCCTAAGTGCACAAGATAAAGCATTCCTACTCCTACAGCAGATAGAATTTGAAAACCTCTTCCTCGTGAGGGTAAGTGTTACGTAAGACCCTTCGGATCTGACAGAGAAGATCTAATCTGGGTAGATCCATGCTGCTGGAGCTCCTCGGCCTCGTATACTGCGGTCATAACGGGGCAAGACCTAGCTCCAACTCCGTCAAGCAAAGGACACGACAAACCTATTAGCCCACGTGGCAGGGAGTCCTTGTTCCCAAACTAATGGAACTCAATCTTGTGCAGCAGCTGCATAGCCCCTTCACACCTCATAAGCCGAACTTGATCGCAGCCCTCTAAGTGCACAAGATGGCAGCATTCCTACCCCTACAGCAGATAGGATTTAAAAACCTCTTCCTCGTGAGGGGAAGTGTTACGTAAGACCGTTTGGAGCTAACAGAGAAGATCTACTCTGGGTAGATCCATGCTGCTGGAGCTCCTCAGCCTCGTATACTGCAGTCATAGCGGGGCAAGACCTAGCTCCAACTCCGTCAACACGACAAACTTATTAGCCCACGTGGCAGGGAGTCCTTGTTCCCAATATGATCAGCTTCATGAAATTGAAAGGAAGAGATTGACATACCTTAAAATTGGTGCATAGTACCACAAACTCGGTGGCAGGCACACTTAACACAAACCAATGTTGACTGCCAAGGTCTTCAAGAGGGTTCAAGAACCTCTCAGGCAAGAGTTATGCCTGGCGGGGCACAACGTGCACATCCAATCAAAGATACCCGGTGTAGCCTGGAACTCCATATGTACCCAAAGGTGTACGAGTGGAACAAGCATGTCCAACCAGAGTTTCCTAGGAGCCATTGTGAGCACGATGTACCCAACATACAAATTGCTGTTATACAAGTTACACTGGTTGGGGAGAAGGCAAGCCAAAAGACATCCTCAGAAGTGATCTTCATGACATCTAATGTCATTTTCTGGACATCATGTGTATACCGTCCCATACCATACACTTACACGCACAGCAAGGATATAACCCGTGTGCAATCGGACAGGGCATAGGATGGAAGACCTGGCACAAAGACAAAGGCTCTGGAGTAGATTAACCACCAGTACCTTTCCCCGGTTGAAAAACAATTCCAGGGGGGTATACACAGGAAACTTTCGGGGCCGGGCCACCACTGATAAATTTCATCATCGGCAGCTCTTCTGGTGTTTCGGGACTCCGAAAGTCGCAGTGAGAGGCCCACCACTGATATATGGGAAACGTACTGGTGCTTTAATCCAACGACAGGGAAGCAGAGTCCACAAGGGCAGCTGGGAGGTCAAGCATCCCAATGCAACCTCCTTGACTTGTCCATGGACAACGGTTAGGAGCCACAACATTTGAGTCAGTTGTGGTGGCAGAGGTCTGGCAGCATGTCGCTGGCAGGTGAGTGCGCATAAAATAGAAAATGATGTGATCTTCCACTTCATAGAAGGCCTAGTCATTATAACTCTATTTAGGGCAACTTCCAGGTGTGATACAGCTATAATGACTTCTCTATGGCTTATACATGGTCATCATAGCTGTATTCAGGGCGCATTTGGTTGAGATATGCCTTCTGTTTGGGAGACCACAGTAGCGGCCACGACAGTACATATAATTGCAAATGGCCTAGAGCACCGAGAAAATCTGGTTCTTTCAATTAGCCAACATATCAGTCAGCATACCTCGAAATACTAGGAGGAGCAATAATATTGAGAAGACTAGCCTCAATACCTTCCTTGGGAAGCTCCTTGGTGTTAGGCAATATAGTATTTCTGGCTTAGAACTGCTCTGATGACCATCAAGAGTGCCATAACGAACCCGACAAGTTCTAAGCTGAGTGCATGCTCGAGTGAAGTGATCATATTCATTACAGCTTAAAAGGGAAGTGAACAAACGAGCTCAATTTGGAAACACCACTCCCAAGCTGAAAATAGGGAGATGGGTTCTTCAGAATATAGCTTGGTTTAGGGGGAAAAGAAAACCTTATGTAACAGACCCTACCCACAAAATAGTGGTCAACCATATTAATCAACAGAGACTACATCGAAGCATCCCCACATACAGTTCCTATTCCGTCAAGGCACCTACCCAAAAACAGAGCAGTTAAGACCCTTCAGAGACACAGTCCTCGTGATAATACGTCCAGCTGGCCTCCTGCAGTATGCCCAGGGGTGCTCAGCCCTGAACATGCTTAGGTGGGGCGAAGGGGCAGCGGTCCGGTGTCTTCTGCCAATGGTAGCATGGATCTTGAAGAGTGTAGCACTGACTGTCCCTATCAAGCCCATTAACTGGATTTGCCCACCATCAAATTGTTCCCAAAACACTAGCAATGCCACAAAGAGAAAACCTTTCATCTGCTAAGTGGGCTAAGATATCGATAGGGAAGCTGCATCAAAAGGCAGACTGCTCCCCAAGAGGGTGCACACTGCCTTGACTGACAGCCAGTAACCCAACAGCGAAACGCCTCAGGCCAAGTGTAACTCCAAAGCCATAATGCATCTATCCATTCTTTAGTTCCCACCAAGCCATGAGAATACTTTAGTTCCCACCAAGCCATGAGAATACTTCTGTTCGAAATGTGACCAACCAGCCACGAACAAGGTGAGTTCAGCCAGTGGCTGTTGACCCATGGTTAGGCTCAACAGCCTGGACTTCAATGGATGGCAAGGACATGGTGAATGACAATCCCTTCGAGCATTGGCTATCAGTTCAGCGGGCATGTGCTTGCACGGCCAAAGGGCACAGACGTGGATGCCTGCGCCAGGGATGGTGATAGTACACATGACGAGACTGCCACCATTTAGCAGTGGCTATCCAATTGAGGGGGGGGGAGTGAAACTTGTATGGTGAGGACACTGTGAAAACAAGTGAGAAACTGAGAGGCAGTACGAAAAGGGGAAAGGAAGAAATATATATTCCCAAAATGAAGAAGGGACATATTCCGTCTTTGTAGATTGATTGAACAGGTAAACCCTTTACCTCTATTACACTCCCACAAAGGGGACACTAATCACCGCTAATGATTTCATTGCATAATCAAATGGTTTTTTCCCTTCCTACGTTTCATGCACACTCGTTGCATTGATGCCCCTCCCCATCTGGAGCTTTTACTCCAGCACTAAATCAAGACTCCATCTCTATACCCTTCTCCTCCCTCCTCCATCTCTACTTATGAGTACTACCCCCTCTCAAAAATATCTCTGTCATGCCTGCAAGCTTGCCAAGCATCACCAGTTACATTTGTGCAGGGTTATCTGCGTCAGCTAGCAAACTTGGCCAGCATCACAGATTACATTTGCCGTGGGGTGGCTGCCATTGACCCACCATTGCTAAGCTGCTGTTACCGCATTGCAGCAGCCCTCGTCCTCAGTCCACTGCTTTATTTACTTTCCTCCACTGTGCTAGTTCTCATTAGTCTCATGCTAATTTCTCATCTTGTCACCATGAAAACCCATGGGCCATTTCCTGGCAGATACTACCCTTCATCTTAAACCACCAATACCTTTCCCATACATCGGCCGCGGGCAGTTTCGGAGGCCCGCAACAGAAAACGGGGCGCCGCTGAAATTTATCAACGCCAGCCCGCTTGCCCTCCGCGTAACCCACCGTGGAATAGTTTTTCAAGCGGTGAAATGTACTGGTGGTTTTAAGTGGTGCTCCTATTACCACGCATGACTTTTTCTGTCTGATCTTACAACAGAGCCTAAGCATTAGACCTGGTGTATAAATGCAGAGCCAAGGACATCATGCCAGCCCCTTCACTGCTGCCCATTGACAAAGGGTAGCCCTCCGACCTCCTCCTCTCACTCGTCATCATAACCATAATCATAGTCTTTTCCTATTTCCATTATTTGCACACCACACAGCACACCACAGAACTGGGCCCAAGTATGCAGGCACACATCGTATAAAAGAGACCAGTATAACAGCAAATGAACAACTCAGAAAAGACATCAAAAGACAGGAAAAGAAAGGGACTTCTCTGCCCATCCTCAACGGCATAGGTAGGTTTTCAGAAGAGAACAGGTTCTACATGTACATTGGATATTGCAAAAGATATACAGTACCTGAGTCCCAAGAACGGCCAAAAAGCTCAGACATAGCTGCCGATATATGAGCCACTGGCTCGATGCGTAAGTACCTCTGTTCACAAAAAAAATATATCACATAGAAGTCAAAAAGGTGAGTTGAAAATAAACAGACCACAATATCTTGTTCTCAGATTCCCATCCACATTGAACACACATACAACCCACATGTACATACCACAGCTGCAATGCGGACATCTGGACAATCATCCAGACAGTCCACCCAGCATCCAGGTCTGGTTTTGTGGGTCAAACTGGGCCCCGCAAAAAATTGAGGGTGAGCGTGCAAAGAACTGAGAGCCATTTTCTGCCTAAAAATGATAAACTCTATCGATTGCATCCATTTAATCAACTCTACCAACTCTGCAGTAGAGTCCATTGGCTCAATCAACTAGACAATCTCTCTCTCTCTCTCTCTCTCTCTCTCTCTCTCTCTCTCTCTCTCTCTCTCTCCACACACACACACAACCCCTGGACTCCACTTGTTTCTGGCCATCTATCTATGATCTGTTTACTGCAACTTATAAACTCGATGGTGGACTGTATAGACTCTGTGGTGGACTCTTCTGAGTTGAGCAGCAGCGTCTCTCTCTCTCTCTCTCTCTCTCTCTCTCTCTCTCTCTCTCTNCTCTCTCTCTCTCTCTCTCTCTCTCTCTCTCTCTCTCTCTCTCTCTCTCTCTCTCTCTCTCTAGTGCCTAACACCAAGGAGCTTCCCAAGGAAGGTATTGAGGCTAGTCTTCTCAATATTATTGCTCCTCCTAGTATTTCGAGGTATGCTGACTAATATGCCACCCTCTCTCTCTCTCTCTCTCTCTCTCTCTCTCTCTCTCTCTCTCTCACACACACACACACACACACACACACACAGAAGAGAGAGAGAAAAGAGTCATGAGTCAAAGGAGGGGTGGGGCAAGAGTATGGCTTCGGAAACATCCCCCTTCTTTTTTGTTTGCTTTCCCACCTCCCCCACCGATCTACTCTTTGAGGCTGGACACTTCGCATCTTTGTCCTTGATAAATCTTTCTCATCCGGGCAGGGATGAATGGCGATATTCAGCTATTGTCATCGAGTAGGGGATTAGATGGCAAGAGTGTCATTCACAGAAGGTAGGTTCTCGAATACGAAAAGGGCGAGATACTATGCCATCCCTTCCTTTATAATTTGTGGATTCCCCTTCCCCACATATCTGCTTTGCAATGCTGGATACTATGTCGTCCACAGAGGCGAGATTCACAAATAGGAAAAGGTAAATGGGAACCCCTCCTCTTCTTATTCCTGAATCCCTCTCTCCCCCATATGCACTTTTCAATACTGGACACTCCACTTGCCATCGAGTCACTAAGGAATCACTCCAATTGAGGGATGGATGGATGGTGAGGTTGTTGGCGTAGAGCGACTAGATCACCAGAGTGTCATAAGAAGATGGGGATTGGATGGCGCAATGGTTGTTGGAGAAGGGGGGTTAGCTGGCGTAACAATAATTGGGAAAGGCGGACTGGACAGTGAGACTGTGTTCAGCGGAAATGAATGGTGAGATAGTGTTTGGAGGCCTGTCTTGGTAGCTGAATAGGTGTACAACCACAAAGTTGCATCGGTATAGTACAGTTTCCAGACTTCCTATGGCTCCCATCCCACAAAGGTGGGCATCTCCTTGAAACCCACCCTTCTAAGACAATACTAGACATAACACACGTGACGGGTCCTGGCTGTGGGGGAATCCCAACAGATGAGGTGGTCGGTAGGTTTCGGCAGTATCAGGGCCAAAGTAAGCATTGATGATAAATGTATTAAACCTGCTTCCTGAAATGGTTTTCACCTTTACGGCAGCAGATGCAGATCCCAGGGCTCGATCCCTGGACCTCGCCCAACCCGTGTACAGTATTCGTTGCACTGTGTGTGTTTGAACCCGCAACCTGCATCTTGAAAGTCGCCTGTCTGCGCGTTGTAGGTAGTGTGGTCAGCGGGTCTCGAACAGTAGACCTGTAGGTTAAAAGTCTTAGCAGTGGTAGAGTTTGTAGCTGCTACAGTACCGAAAGGTCAAGGTCGTAGCTGCTACGGTACCGAAGGGTCAAGTCCACAGCCTTCCGGAAGGTCCCGAAGTGACCCTTCGGGTAGTCTTAGGCGAAGGTCTGTAGGCAAGTGGGCAAGTGGTTAGTCCAGCGGTACCCAGTCCCAGTCGCACTTTGTCCAGTCAGCAAGTACCATGTGGCACGGTGTGCACCCTGGGCCCGGTGGAAAGGGGCAGACCAGCGACCCTCCAAAGTATAAATCAAGAGGCAGTGTCCAGTCATTCATTCATTCTGCCTGTGAGCCATGCGGAAGCAAGTTTGAATCTGAACTGTGTTCTTGGCCTCGATATCTCTGAGCGTTGTGTGGACGCCTGGCGCCAGTGTGATTGCCATCTGTTTTCATGCATGCTGAGTAAGGAAGAAGACGAGTCTGGTTGCACTTCCCCTTTCAGAAAAATAAAATAATAATAAATGACAGGGGGGTTAACGACCATGGAAACACAGAGAGGGAAGAAGAAGGGGGGCGGGCTAGGAGGGGGGGGGGGGGGGGGAGGAGAGAGAGAGTTGAGGTGGGAAGCATCAGCTCTGACTGTTTTTATTGCGCCCAGTCCCAATATGCTGTGAAGAGGGGCGGATGAGATAAAGCATCATTTTGAGTATGTCTGCCTTGTACGGAAGGCAGACAAAGGAAACTACAACTGACTATGCTGCTACTCCAGCCAATGTGAGAAAAGGAACTGCTCAACGTTCATTCCGAACATCAAAACAGGCAGAATGACACACACACATTGAGAAGAGAAAGATACAAGTTTGGGCCTTGCCACACTGCTCACGAAACGAGAAAAATGGTGAAAGCGCCTTCACAGAGAACGCAGCAAGACACATCCACCACCATTCACACACAAAAACGTTTCTTGCCACCACCTGTTTCAGGGTGCACTTGCAAATTTCTCGCTTCATTAAGTATTGCGGCAACACTCATTAGCCTGGCACATGCACAAGGATGGTGAGGATGACACACAAACTGAGAAATTGTCCATAAAAACAAGAGTCCAATAAAACATGTGGTAACAGCTACTTAAGTACACCAGAAGGCCATGAATGCAAAAGGAATTCCGATCTAGAGTAGTTGTACGCGGTCTAAATGCTCCCCCCCACCCCCCACCCCCAAACACACACACTCACACTCACACGACACATTATGGGTGGTACCGAACATGCCCCTGGACCCTTCTTTTCTTTTGCATGGCCAATTCTCTTGGGGGAGGGGGAGGGTGTGCCAGCACACTCAACACCCCACCACAAAGAGGCACACACACACATTCACATGCAATGTGCACTGCACATTGGGCGTGCACGATGTGGGCCACAAGTATGTTTCGGAAGCATCGGTGTATGTTTCGGAAGCATCGGTGGTTTTCATGTGTCACGTGCACAACAGTTGCCAGAAAAATATGCTATTACTTGAATGGAATTCCACTGCTCACCTTCATAAAAAATGTTTCCTTCCTCGAGCTTTTAAATTTGATTTGTCTCACTCGATGTTGAACCCACTCAGGGCTATTATACAGCTCTCTGATTTCCTTTACACACTGTGCTGCTTCGGGACTAATTGTGTCACAGAATTTCCACGAGTCCAGAAACATATCTTTCCCTCCTATATCTAGTGCTCTGTCTTTCTTCAGCTTCCCATCCCAATCAGTTTGCTGACTTGGAAGTGAATTGTTATCGTGTATTGTTTGAGCAGATAATGTGCTTGCTTGTACATCTGTGGCAACACCAGCACAGGTGCTACTTGGACCCATTACTTGGCACTGCTCGTGCTCAATCAGATTTCCATGTAGTCCAGCAGCCTCATCCCCTCCAACGCGTGGCCTCTTCCGTTTGACACCATCTGCCTCATCTTGGCCCAGTTCACCAATGGACTGTTCTCCCAGCAAAAGATGATGTCCTTCCAATTCTGCTCCAACATCACATCCGCTTTCTCTCTGCACACCTGCCGCACCAGTCACGAGATCATTTTCAGGTCCACCCTTGGGCTGACTTTGATCCTCCAAAGGAGGTGGATCATTGGCTGCTTCTGCGAGGCCATCAGAGGGTTTGATTATGCAATGAACTATCTCCTGGAAAACAGATGTGGCTGACCTCTTCTGCGCTGATTCCACTTGCTCGGGCACGTGGTAGTGTTCAGGACATGCCACTAACATCACCTTAAGAAAATCGAAAGTTCTCCAGTGTCCTTTACGTGCACACCAGTAATGTGCCACCTTGCGGCATTTCTTGACCCTACAGCCCAGCGTTGCACCTGTCTTCTTGCATTCAGTACATTTCTGCAAGTGGACAAGCCAGGGTGAAACATCACATACCGCAAATCCCCCCCGACCCCAGAGAGAGACATTCTGGTGAGCATTATGAAGCTACAGAGGAATACAAGTATTGGAGTGCATGCGGATCAAATATCATCAGAGCATGTGAGTCCAATACGCAAAAGAGCAGACGACCACAACACTCAGTAACAAATTTACCATTTGTATACTCCACAATGACATGTTACTGTACCACAGCAAGCATTGCTCACAGCGCTAGGCTCACACAAGACAGGCAGATAGGTTTCGTTGATAGATGAGACAAGGGGTGTAGCCCTGTAGGACATACTAAGTAGATAGTTCCACATGAAGAACCAATTAAAACGTAACCTGCATGGCCAATAGACATATAAGCTAAAGTTAAATTAAAACGTAACCTGCATGGCCAATAGACATATAAGCTAAAAGTAAAAAAACTTTTAGCTTATATGTCTATTGGCCATGCAGGTTACGTTCTAATTGGTTCTTCATGTGGAACTATCTACTTAGTATGTCCTACAGGGCTACACCCCTTGTCTCATCTATCAACGAAACATGGGCATCACAGCTGCTACCCATCTATTACGAATTTGTTTTTTTGTTCACCCGAACACGTTCGTGAGCTGTTCGAGTGAACGCGCGAACACGTTCACGTGGGCAAACACGTTTGCCATGCTATGCAGGCACCCACTCACCTGTCTGCCGCCAAAGCATACAACTCCTGTCTGGCCCATACAATCACATACCAGGCACAGGTCCAAACATTCATGTGTATAACGATGGGAGGACAGAAGGCAATGTCCTTAACAAATTACCTTACACAAACCACAGTGCATCACAACACAGAAGGCTCTACCAACAAGAAAGCACCGACCAAACCTCCCAATAGTCCAAAAGAATTGGGAGAGCCCTGTGAGCCGGCCCACAAAGCCACAAAATAACTCCGCGGAATCTCCACGTGACATCAGAAGCATCTTCCATGTGCTCCAAAAGAGCAGCCCATGGGAGTGACACCCACAGCAAAGACTCTCTGAGCTTCCTCGTGAAGATACTGTGGCCATAACTCCAACCAGACATTCCCGCCCAAAAAAGCTTGTGGCCACCCACAGACCTGCCTTCATCAAGAGACAGGCCATGCTCTACAGCAGGGCAAAGAATTAGGCCATGCATGGATAAAGAACAACACTCAATCATCCAACCACAAAATGGAATAGCTCGTGGGACGCTGGACCCGGTTTCCAGCACGTGCTGCTCCCCACGAATAGCTCGCTAGTACAAGCCCCATGCTAGCCGCTAAAATCTGCCAGGACAGAGAGCTAGCAGGACCTGAATGGGTGTTGTCAGGAACCCCAAACTCTCTCGCTCGTTGCATTCACAAACCATCCATGAAACCAAAAATGTAAAAACGGGCGATATAATAGAAAATGCAACGTTCCCCACGTTTGTGTGGTTGAGCCAGAAGTGTGAGTGCGTGTGTGTGCATGTGTTTATGTGGGTGTATTCTGTGTGTTTTTAACAATCACACAGCAATCCCTTCACCCCGGATGCATAGATATATCTTATTCCGCATGTTGTTTCAAAAGAAAAAGAGGATTGATGTTTTGCTCAAACGGCTATTTCATCGCTGCATTCTGATTGGCGCAAGGTCTACCGCGGAACCAAAAGCGCAACAATGGGAGTACACGGCCTCCCTTTTGAGCCTCACGTCCAAAAGACAGTCCGGTACCGGCGCCACAAGATATTTTTTTTACTGCTGTTACTGTAGCGGAATGGCTTGGAAAAATGCAAATTTCAGTTCGTCAATTTAGCTTCAGGTGGACTGGTGGTTTAACAAGCCAAAATGTGTGCACACTTTTGCTGTTTTCCAACCGAGGCCCATGAATGATCTGTGACTGCATGTGTCATCTTTGCTACACACAACAACAAAAAAAAGCACGACTGTGCTAAGATCGTTTCATCGGAATTTCACTGACTTATGAGTAGGTTGACCCTCCACAAGTCTTCCCGGGATACATTTGACTGATGGATGGGGACTCCCGAGAAAACTCGTTGACTTTACTCGCACCGACACTGCAACCCTCGCAGACTGTGAGTTCAAACCCTGACGAGAACAGTCTGTGTGTGTGCATGTTGTCATGTTCGCTATTTAAAACACAAAAAAAAAACAGGGCAGTACCAGACTGTTTCATCGGATTTTCTGTGTTGTCATGTTCGCTATCCACAACTCCACAGAACACGAAGCATGACTGTGCCAGACTGTTTCACCGGGCTTTCACTGACTCAGCAGGAGATTGAACCACGACAGTCTGCCCAGGATGCATTTGACTGCGTGCTCAGAGATAGTGATACCCCTGAGAAAAGTGGTCGACTTTACTCACACTACCCCTGCAATACTAGCAGACTGTCAGTTCAAACCCCTGACAAGAATGGCGGTAAGACTGAGAAACTAGTCTGACTCAGCCATAAAACCCACTCTCCACACCCACTCAGCCATAAATACCCAACGGCACGACCGCTAGTACGCTCCTGACCCTAGCCGCATCGATCCGCCTGAATGGAGATACATGTGTATGTTATGACCGGGATTACGAGGCTGTCTGACCTGGCCAGGTGCCGGTCAGCAAACCCAGGCAACGTTGGAAATGCCTGTAGAGACACCTTTTTCAGTCTGGGGTCGCTACAATTATTTGTGGATGCCAAATGGAGCCGAAATCCGACCTGACTCCCACATGAAATGTTGTACCCCATAAATAAACCAATGCACATGCTAAAAGATATTTGCTTTGTATACCAACCTGTGCCAAACTCAACTTCATGCATTGAGTAAGATTCACCAGTGCAGAATCCTCCATGTAGACTTGTGGCGAGTACTCTCCACAAAGCCTGTGCACAACTATGTGCCGATCTAAATCCCTGTCTGCCACATCCTTCCCAGGGAAAAATAGCCCCGGATCGGATTTCAGCTGTACTCCAACTTCCTTTCCATCCATCTTCTTCTTCTTTCGCCGCCACTGGACATGCTGGCCCCACTTGAGTGCGAATTCCCTGCACATAAAACAAATCAAGTCCAGAAATGCAAACGGTCACGAAGAACCCTGCATTGCTCAATCATCAGAAACTTTTGCTCAGTCACCATGGACTGTTTTGCATAGTCATTGTTCTCTGGAAACTTTCTCTGATCGTCCATGGAAACGAGGTAAATTGATTGCATGCCACTGTCTCAATTGGAGTCAGGCCAGGTGCATCACTGTGCTAGCTCTAATAAACCGTTTGTAGGCTTTCAAAGGAAATCAGAAGCTTTATCTGTTGCCCGTCACCTCAGCTGCAGTATGCGTGGGAGTGAACATGAGAGCGGCATATGGATATTGATTGGCCAGGCAGCCAAACTTGTCCAAAGCCCATCACGCACCAATGGACGAGGCAATGAGGGACAACAGTTGTATACTTCTGAAGATGGCAAATCAGAGCATGCGACAAATAGTCACAGCATCGGAAAAGGAGATAACCCGTTTCTGATATGTTCATCAATAGCCCCACCACCTGCCCCTCAGAACACGACCTGTCAGTACCTAGAAGACTTCCATGTGTAGCTGGTTTAGCAGGTACCCGCAGGGATCCCTTGCCTTGACCATTTGCAAAAGTTGTCCTCGACATAACGAGAAGGGCAATGCTTCCAAACACAGTCCAGGTCCTGCTCCCTCTATAAATAGGATCCTATTGTTAGCAGTAGATCACCTGCTGCAGCTTCACACACAAGGAGAAAAAGGGTCTATCCAGAACAGATGTACTGATCCGTAGAATGCTGCATGATGTTCCATCTCATGTGATCCGAAATCCAGTTCTCGTAAGAACTCTTCTTCAGATCTGCACACACAAGCAATTCACCGAACTGCTGTTTGCCGAAAGTGTCCCTGCTGTTGGTCAGGTTGGCGTGTGGAGGTGATTTCAAGTAAAACCTACATTTTCCCGTTTATTGTACATGATGGCACACTGGTGAAGCTTTCATTCTATACTAGGGGACCTGTTGCGACTCCACCCGCAATAAAAATGGAACGTTTGCCAAGCAGTTGATGGACTCTCTCTCTCTCTCTCTCTCTCTCTCTCTCTCTCTCTCTCTCTCTCTCTCTCTCTCTCTCTCTCTCTCT